ACACTGTATATTATACACTGAAGGTGTATTTGTATAAACTTAAATTAAATAAATTTTAATGTATTCTAGTCATCCTGCAACAGGGATTGAAAATCAGACGGCAAAACTGCTAAATTTTAGAGATGGAAGATGTATAAAACCCTGTATCTCCTGAATCTTACTGTTGAATGGATCCACGTGATCCTGTGAAATTGAGTGACATCATAACTAATTCATTTATTTGCTCTCTTATTGCATTCGATGTTTGAGTAAACACAATAACATACATTTATATCCCAAAATTGATTTCGCACGGCACATTTGATTAAAATGAAATGTTTTTTTTCCGAAAGTAACATCCATATGACAATGGAAGCCGTTGCAGTGAGATATTTTCAGTATTCTGTCGATGCAACGAGAAAATTTCAGTATTCTGTCGATGCAATGAGATATTTTTAGTATTCTGTCGATGCAGCGGGATATCTTCACTATTCTGTCGATGCAACGAGATATTTTTAGTATTCTGTCGATGCAACGAGAAAATTTCAGTATTCTGTCGATACAATGAGATATTTTTAGTATTCTGTCGATGCAATGAGATATTTTTAGTATTCTGTCGATGCAATGAGATATTTTTAGTATTCTGTCGATGCAACGAGAAAATTTCAGTATTCTGTCGATACAATAAGATATTTTTAGTATTCTGTCGATGCAATGAGATATTTTTAGTATTCTGTCGATGCAACGAGAAAATTTCAGTATTCTGTCGATGCAATGAGATATTTTTAGTATTCTGTCGATGCAACGAGAAAATTTCAGTATTCTGTCGGTGCAATGAGATATTTTCACTATTCTGTCGATGCAATGAGATATTTTCACTATTCTGTCGATACAATGAGATATCTTCAGTATTCTGTCGATGCAACGAGAAAATTTCAGTATTCTGTCGATGCAATGAGATATTTTTAGTATTCTGTCGATACAATGAGATATTTTCAGTATTCTGTCGATGCAATGAGATATTTTTAGTATTCTGTCGATGCAGTGAGATATTTTTAGTATTCTGTCGATGCAACGAGAAAATTTCAGTATTCTGTCGATACAATGAGATATTTTTAGTATTCTGTCGATGCAATGAGATATTTTTAGTATTCTGTCGATACAATGAGATATCTTCACTATTCTGTCGATGCAACGAGATATTTTTAGTATTCTGTCGATGCAATGAGATATTTTTAGTATTCTGTCGATGCAACGAGAAAATTTCAGTATTCTGTCGATGCAATGAGATATTTTTAGTATTCTGTCGATACAATGAGATATCTTCACTATTCTGTCGATACAATGAGATATTTTCAGGATTCTGTCGATACAATGAGATATTTTCAGTATTCTGTCGATGCAATGCAATTCTGATGAATAGATATTTTCAGTATTCTGTCGATACAACGAGAAAATTTCAGTATTCTGTCGATGCAATGAGATATTTTTAGTATTCTGTCGATGCAGTGAGATATTTTTAGTATTCTGTCGATACAACGAGATATTTTTAGTATTCTGTCGATGCAACGAGATATTTTTAGTATTCTGTCGATGCAATGAGATATTTTCAGTATTCTGTCGATACAATGAGATATTTTCAGTATTCTGTCGATGCAATGAGATATTTTTAGTATTCTGTCGATGCAGTGAGATATTTTTAGTATTCTGTCGATACAACGAGATATTTTTAGTATTCTGTCGATGCAACGAGATATTTTTAGTATTCTGTCGATGCAATGAGATATTTTTAGTATTCTGTCGATGCAATGAGATATTTTCAGTATTCTGTCGATGCAACGAGATATTTTTAGTATTCTGTCGATGCAACGAGAAAATTTCAGTATTCTGTCGGTGCAATGAGATATTTTCACTATTCTGTCGATGCAATGAGATATTTTCAGTATTCTGTCGATACAATGAGATATCTTCAGTATTCTGTCGATGCAATGAGATATTTTCACTATTCTGTCGATGCAATGAGATATTTTCAATATTATGTCGATGCAGTGAGATATTTTCAGTATTCTGTCGATGCAATGAGATATTTTTAGTATTCTGTCGATGCAATGAGATATTTTTAGTATTCTGTCGATACAACGAGATATTTTTAGTATTCTGTCGATGCAACGAGATATTTTTAGTATTCTGTCGATGCAATGAGATATTTTTAGTATTCTGTCGATACAATGAGATATCTTCACTATTCTGTCGATGCAACGAGATATTTTTAGTATTCTGTCGATGCAACGAGAAAATTTCAGTATTCTGTCGATACAATAAGATATTTTTAGTATTCTGTCGATGCAATAAGATATTTTTAGTATTCTGTCGATGCAACGAGAAAATTTCAGTATTCTGTCTATGCAATGAGATATTTTTAGTATTCTGTCGATGCAACGAGAAAATTTCAGTATTCTGTCGGTGCAATGAGATATTTTCACTATTCTGTCGATGCAATGAGATATTTTCAGTATTCTGTCGATGCAATGATATTATGATATTGTAACTGTTGAATATCAATATATTTTATAATCATGTATGCATGCATGCTTTATGATAGTTTATTTATTTACCTAGTATTCTGATTATACATACACGTACATTTGAGTGTATTTCAAGTAGCTGTCATTCCTTAAAAGTATGACTTAAGATTTCTAAGTCGTGCTAATTTGTTTAAAACGATATTGCAATTCTATATTTTTTTAAATGTATGTAAGGAAGAGGGCTTGTAAAGGAAATACCCATTGCCCAATTCCCATTCATCTTTTAATTTTTCATATTTGATAAGATATTTTGAAGTGAAATGATATGGTATGATATCTATAAGATAAGTAGAGCAATCAGTCGGCATATCGATCAGTTACTGTCATTTTTTTTACTATGACAACTAATCAATCTAGAATATTTACAGTAATATATTTAGGATGAGTTTTCATTTCACATGAGATTTTATGAAACAAGTTCCTGAGGCTCAAATCGTTTGATACGATTCATATGAAATAAGAATACATTACGGTGTTTTTACCACATGAAAAAATGACATTTTAAACGGTTTTTAGGTAAAAAATGGGCAGGACAAAAACAAACTGTGGCAGCTATACTTTTGCGCTGATTTCCATTCATCACCTATCGTCAATGTCCATAATAAGACATCACAATCGACTTCTGAACGGCGCAGCCAATGACAAACACTCCAGGATATATAACACTAATGACATATGATCCCGTATTAAGATGTTGCGTCTGGTATGTAATGAAATTGCTCCAAATGTCAATCCGATTCTTGTTGTTGAGCTAATACCTGATGTTCTAGTAAATATATTACTACATGGATGTGAAACTTTAGACTGTCAATCAAGCAAAGTTATATTTGATCAAGATTCTAATCTCTCTCTCTCTCTCTCTCTCTCTCTCTCTCTCTCTCTCTCTCTCTCTCTGTCTGGTGTGCGAGCAGGTGTGTGCTGTGTGCGTGGATGAGTGTGCGAGTATCAATTTAATGAATGAAAGGAGTGAGTAAATGTAAGTAAGTTTTGTCAGTTTCGAAAATGTTTTCTTGTATTGTACTATGTAATGTGTTTCATGTCGAGGAGAGCAACTAGTAGCCCCAGGGCTGTTTGCAATCCTCTTTAAACAAATAAAGAATTAAATTAATGACATATAGATACAAGTATTACAAAGGCGGATAATGTGATTACTTTACCGTCCCGGAAAAGTCTAGTCATCTTGGTATATGGTTTTGACTCCGGCCTGATTTATACTATAGGAAAGGAAATGTTAAAACTATTACTAATGCAGTTTTATGCACACCTTCATCAATACAAGCAGAGACTTTAAAATTTTGATACATTGCGACACATATCCTCTCTCTATGTTTTGGTTTTTATTAAAGATATCCTGGTATTAAAAATCTCAGCAGACAACGAATGGTTGATTGTTGCTTTACGTCATATTAACAGCTCGGGTCATTTAAAAACGTGTGTGGTGGAGGAAAGACAGTGTTCCCGCAGAAAAAAACGATAAGACGCTTTAATCGATTGGGCAACAACCCCACAACAATGAACAACATTAGTAAGTAAAAAATAGTAAGAAAGACGTATTTTGTTATAAGTTTTTATTTTAATTATGACAATAAATACAAACAACAGCAATAACAACAACACAAATACATCGCGCAATATCACAGTCATGTGTGGCAGTCGTGTGGAATCTGAAATATAAAAAAAGATACGTGTTATCTACAATCATGTTTCCAAGACGGGAATGCTAATAATATACTCATGTTATTACAGATTTATGTTTTATCAGCATTAATTAAACATTTCTCTGAGCACGCAGATTACACCACGAACTTTGTGGGCACAATATGAAGAATATGAACTCAAAAGAGGTTTTTTATTCGTCCATAGACGTTAATTGAACAAAACCAAATAAAGAAATATATCAATGACAAGATTGCATATTAAATTCAATTAAATTAGATTAAATAAATTTTACGGATACTTCAAAAGTGTTTTGAAAGACTAAAAGAGTGCCCACCATAATGTGTTTGAGTGCCAAGTCGATCTCCATCTCCCTTGGTAACATCTAACCAGTCAAGGTTCCGGTAATGTTGAAGGCAAACAACAACAGAAGACCAGAGATCACTGTAAGGAAAATTCAGCATGAAACTGTGATAGAAGTTTCACTGATGCTAATACAATTTTAAGGACTAGACAGAAATCTTTTTTCGTCTAGTGGTATTACATTTATCAGGAAATTTCATATCTTTCAAACCAATATTACTCTGTCGTATTTAAACGAAACAAAGATGTTCATTATCGAGAAGACAACACGTGTGACTATCTAATAAATAATTATTTGTTAAATATATTACTTGTTTGTCAGGGGAAAGGATATTTAGTGCAAAACGCAGTATACATGAGTTAGAGACTGCTAAAATTATTTATCTGCTAAGCTTACTCTTATTCAATACTGTTTTAGGTCAATAATGATAAAATTAATCAATGCGAGTACAATCAAAGTATTAAAGAATATTGATTTATAAAACATATACCATAGATAAACATAAGTTCGTTAGTATTTAAATTTTCCAGCTTAAATCATGATTTAAATCAAAATTAAGGAAACAACTGTTTTTTTTTCTCATTTTACTTACAGAGAGCAAAGTTAGAGCTCTTCTCTTGCTGCTGGTTACCGTAGTTGTAGTAGAAGTTACTCAGACCATATCCGCTTCCGTAGCCTCCTACTCCGTATCCGGCGCCATGACCATATCCGGGATACTGGGCCACAACAAAGGCCACCAAGCATGGGATAAGGATGAGGGCGATACACTTGTTCATTTTGTAGCTATGAAATAAAAATGTTTGGTTTCAGATTAAGTTTCATGTTAAATACAAAATAAGCTATGATTTGTAATTGTAGTAACGAAATAATACGTGTCATATATATATATATATGTTAAAATGTTGAATATTGAATAAAAAGATTGCTTAAACTAAATTTGTAATAATGACAATCATCCAATTACGATCAAAACTAGAAATATAATTTGATAATAAATGTAGAAAGAAGTATAAAACATCTTGAATATAATTATATGATTATTATGATATATTATTATATAAATTGTATAAATTATTTTATATATATTAACTGATAGATATATCTAAATCTCAGATATATGAAAATGATGAAATATCGATAGTTTCTGACCTTTCAGTGTGGAGATCAGACCAGCTCTGATCACCTACTGACACGACGAACCTTATATATGGTCTAACCGGAAGATTTATAATTGTAATATTAGGAAAGGTTCGTGAATGAATTCAAAGGTTCCCTTCAGGGATCTACATATCTACCTATAATTACGATCCTTGATGTGACTTCCTTGTCCGGATATATAGGTCCTACATTGTCGGAGTCCTGGGGCATAACTGAGTGTGTGATTATATTATTTAATTAGTAAACGGGAAGCCACGGTGTAGATAAAAAGGTACACATGCCAAGTTTCGTTGAATTAATTACAAAAATAAAAACACTGAACTCCGCTTTCTTCACTTCATTATTTTACTTGAAATCTTCTTTGTGTGTCATAGTCCGGTCAGATTTAAAATTTTAAATAATAATCTTGCCACAGTTCTGGATTTATACTCTGTAATACATATCTTGTGATGATAAAGTGTGGCATACATCGAATAAAATGTGTTGAAAATTATGTTAAATATCAAATAAGATATATCTCTCATGTTAAAAAAAAGAAGGCAAAATTTAAAAACAAAGTGATACTAATGTTCTTAGCAAGTTTCCTATGTCTTCTGGAATATGAAGTTTTGAATTAACGCAATAACACTGAAATATCACCGATATGTCATCAAAATAATTCTTTTAACTCAATATCAATACAAAAGAGTACAATTAATGAGGAAAGAAAAGGAAAAATATTCCTGTTTGAAGCCTAAAACATATTTCATAAGCAGGTAATTTCTGTAGATGGGTATATAATATCATGCTGATCAGGAAACAAATGTCTTCACATAATGCACACCTAGTTATTTGTCAAGGTCCCTAAAGTAAAACAACATGTAGAGATGTATATAAATATATAGTGATAAGTTTTGATGTGTTGCTGTTACAAACGGGTGTTAAAAATATGAATAGTGAATTATCAGATGTTGGTATTGGATGTCTGGATGGATGTCGTTTCAGCATTTTGGAAATCATCATTTGCTTAAGATGCATCGTAAATATAGCAAGTGTTCATTTGCTACATAGGGATGTATTTGGGTTAATACTTTCTTTTCTGTCTTAACATGTATATCTTTATCTATCAATGCAGTTTTCAGTTTCTCAAATTATCTTCATGTATATGTCCGTCAATAAATCGTGTAGCATTCTTACCATCAAACGCATATATTTATACATGTGTATGATTGAACCTTTATATGAGATCAAAATGTGTTTTCAGCAACCCAACAAAAGAGGATTATCGATCAAGAACGATATATATATATATATATATATATATATATATATATATATGGTATTATTTGTTATATAAATAATAAAAAATCTGATTTGCTGATACAGTTCTTGTAGCGTCTTGCTTATTGCGAAATAACTTATATTCATTCCATTTATTCATCTTTACAGGTTGCAATACTATTTCCTTCGAAATATTTCTTTATTTAAAACTAGGATCATAAACTAGCAGATTTGTTTCCTTGATTACTCGATTTTCTTACACTTTAGTGCAACATCTTGTAAAGGATTTTAAGCGTGTTGTTTTAACGAAATTACGACAAATAATGAAGCAATATGAACCACAATGCATCACATAATTTGGACCTTAATTAAAAATGATGTAAAAAATCTATCAACATCGATATTTCATCCCTTATAATGCAATATGTTTGCATTGTTGAATTGTTATTGTCCTATACCCAGTAGAACAAATTTTCATTGGATTAGTTTTTTTCTTGCAAAACATAATGAAACAATTTCCACAACTTGCAAGACTGCAAGGCAAATTACGATAATACCAATATACAAATAGCTTTGTGCCATCTACAATAAAGTAAACGTATTTTGTAAAAAGATGAAAGTTCCATACATTCTACATTATAGAACTCAACAATGTTGCTGATAATATGCATTTCATTTTTAAATCCCGGCTATTATCACTTGGTAATTTACATTAACGGTTTTTCAAATGTAAATACCTGTATAGCTGTAAAAGTATAAACTTACATTTTGTACCTGTCGTTACATTATTGTTTTTATTCTTTGAATAAATTTCCTTAATTGTGATTTTAATTTCAGTTGGAGGTTTTAAACATGGCTATCTACATTATATTTTCTATCTAACATTGTATGTTAGAGCATTACAGAGGCACTTCTTATTACACTCCGAAGGATCGTACAAAAGACACACAAGTAAACAGAACATTCAAATACAAATTTAGAGTTAGATACAGCAGAGCCAAACAATGAATTTAACTGTATCATACAGCTGTTTCGTCCTTATAGAATTCGGCAGTGATACTAAGGGTCTATATTGTGAAGCCAAATAATCGACTGTGGAAAATCCAGTGATCGAAAGAAAAGTAAAATCTTGATGGGTAGGTGCAGTAGCCAAATGATTAAAGAAATTTTGTAAGTTACCTTTGTCTAATAATTGACTGATCGATACGAGTGTCACTTAAAACAGTCACATGCAACGTTAAAGAGAATTACGGGTAACACGCTCAATTAAAGTAGATAATGAAACCTAGATGACATAACAACCATGTTTTAAATATCACGAATAGAAGAAGTTATATATAACGTGTGCTCGATGTAAAATAAGCATACGGGTGAGCAATTTGCTTAAGTGGCTTTTTGATGTCCAAATGTAATTATTTGAGAAAAGAGTCTAGGTATATACAAAATTAACAGATTTGTAAGTGCTTTTCTCTTATATATTTCGCACAAATGGCGATTTTGGTATAGATATCATGTGTTACCTGGACTTTGGGTATAGATATCAAGTGTTACCTGGACTTTGGGTATAGATATCATGTGTTACCTGGACTTTGGGTATAGATATCATGTGTTACCTGGACTTTGGGTATAGATATCATGTGTTACCTGGACTTTGGGTATAGATATCATGTGTTACCTGGACTTTGGGTATAGATATCATGAGTAATCTGGATTCTGGTATAAATATCATGCGTTACCTCGATTCTGGTACAGATATCATGAGTAACCTGGATTCTGGTAATTATATCATGTGTTACCTGGCCTTTGGATATATATATCATTTGTTACCTGGAATTTGGTATAGCTATCATGCATTACCTGGACTGCGGTATAGATATCATGCGTTACCTTGATTTTGGTATATATATCATGTGTTACCTGAAATTTGGGTATAGATATTAGGTGTTACTTGGACTATGGATATATATATCATGCGTTACCTGGATTTTGGTATAAATACCATGCGTTAACTGGATTTGGTATAGATATCATGTGTTACCTGGACTTTGGGTATAGATATCATGTGTTACCTAGACTTTGGGTATAGATATCAACTGTTACCTGGACTTTGGGTATAGATATCATGGGTTACCTGGACTTTGGGTATAGATATCATGAGTAATCTGGATTCTGGTATAAATATCATGCGTTACCTCGATTCTGGTATAGATATCATGAGTAACCTGGATTCTGGTAATTATATCATGTGTTACCTGGCCTTTGGATATATATATCATTTGTTACCTGGAATTTGGGTATAGATATCAGGTGTTACTTGGACTATGGATATATATATCATGCGTTACCTGGATTTTGGTATAAATACCATGCGTTAACTGGATTTGGTACAGATATCATGTGTTACCTGGACTTTGGGTATAGATATCATGTGTTACCTGGAATTTGGGTATAGATATCATGTGTTACCTGGAGATATCATGTGTTACCTGGACTTTGGGTAAAGACATCATGTGTTACCTGGACTTTGGGTATAGATATCATGTGTTACCTGAACTTTGGGTATAGATATCATGGGTTACCTGGAATTTGGTATAGCTATCATGCATTACCTGGACTATGGATATATATATCATGCGTTACCTGGATTTTGGTATAAATACCATGCGTTAACTGGATTTGGCATAGATATCATGGGTTACCTGGATTTTGGTATAAATATCATGTGTTACCTCGATTCTGGTATAGATATCATGCGTTACCTGAACTTTGGGTATAGATATCATGTGTTACCTGGACTTTGGTATAGATATCATGTGTTACCTGGACAGAGGTAAAGATATCAAATGTAACCTGGACTTTGGGTATAGATATCATGAGTAATCTGGATTCTGGTAATGATATCATGTGTTACCTGAACTTTGGGTATAGATATCATGGGTTACCTGGATTTTGGTATAAATATCATGCGTTACCTCGATTCTGGTATAGATATCATGAGTAACCTGGATTTTGGTAATTATAGCATGTGTTACCTGGCCTTTGGATATATATATCATTTGTTACCTGGAATTTGGTATAGCTATCATGCATTACCTGGACTTCGGTATAGATATCATGCGTTACCTGGATTTTAGTATATATATCATGTGTTACCTGAAATTTGGGTATAGATATCATGTGTTACTTGGACTATGGATATATATATATCATGCGTTACCTGGATTTTGGTATAAATACCATGCGTTAACTGGATTTGGCATAGATATCATGTGTTACCTCAATTCTGGTATAGATATCACGTGTTACCTGGACTTTGGGTATAGATATCATGTGTTACCTGGACTTTGGTATAGATATCATGTGTTACCTGGACTTTGGTATAGATATCATGTGTTACCTGGACTTCGGGTATAAATATCATGTGTTACCTGGACATTGGTATAGATATCATGTGTTACCTGGACTTTGGGTATAGATATCATGTGCTACCTGGACTTTGGTATAGATATCATGTGTTATCTGGATTTTGGTATAGATAGCATGTGTTACCTGGACTTTGATATAGATAGCATGTGTTACCTGGATTTTGGTATAGATATCATGTGTTACCTGGACTTTGGTATAGATATCATGTGTTACCATGGACTTTGGGTATAGATATCATGTGTTACCTCGACTTTGGGTATAGATATCATGAGTAATCTGAATTCTGGTATAAATATCATGCGTTACCTCGATTCTGGTATAGATATCATGAGTAACCTGGATTCTGGTAATTATATCATGTGTTACCTGGCCTTTGGATATATATATCATTTGTTACCTGGAATTTGGGTATAGATATCAAGTGTTACTTGGCTTTGGGTATAGACTATGGATATATATATCATGCGTTACCTGGATTTTGGTATAAATACCATGCGTTAACTGGATTTGGTACAGATATCATGTGTTACCTGGACTTTGGGTATAGATATCATGTGTTACCTGGAATTTGGTATAGATATCATGTGTTACCTGGAATTTGGGTAAAGACATCATGTGTTACCTGGACTTTGGGTATAGATATCATGTGTTACCTGAACTTTGGGTATAGATATCATGGGTTACCT